TAAAGGGCTCCTAATCTTAAGATACGGGGTCAGTCTCCTTCTTGCTTTATTTAATGACACTTTCACAATTGCGTTCAGTGACTGATTATGATTTGGACCACTGGGGTTCGATTTCCGATTAAGTAGTCGTTTTTTCTTTCCGCTACCACGTTCGGACTGGCTATGTACTCCATCAAGCTTATACCTCCAGTTCCCTACACGCCAGTCCTGGATTGGTGCTTAATTAAGTTCAACGCATTGTTAACTTCCCACCGTCACTCCACCTAATGCACTGAGCTCTGAGTTGTCACAGGTCACAGGTGGAAAACATGAGTCTCAATAAGGGACACTCAGCCTGCAGTCGCGCGACAGACAATTACCGTGACAACGAGAGCACAAACATGATGTATGAGGTCAGAGTCTATGCAGTGTGGGCCATATAATTGAACATGGCTTGTTAAGAGATCAAAGGTGTAGACGGCTGCGACAGGAGTGAACAGATCCTAGTGAGATCTCAGCGAAAAACAGGTTGTCAAAGGTAGCTGTAGATAGGAATACGGAAGATACTGAATTCAAATTTCGGTGGGGACACGTGTTGCCCTGAGTTAAGGATTTTCGTTGTTTTCTTCAGTCCCTCCAGGCAAATGTCGTATAGTACCTCGAATAGTCCACGCAATCTTCCTTCCAAATCATTTACAATTCATGTCACCTTAACATCCGAGTCTGTAAAGTCTCGATACCGAAAACGTAGTTAAGTATACCAAGGAAGAGAAGAATTAGTGATTTGTGCAGAACGCCATTTAAAGTCCCAACTGTCACCATATATAGAAGAAAACACAAAGAAAACTAAGTATATGTTGCTGTCTCGTCACCAAAATGCAGGGAAAAATCATGACATAAAGATAGGAAACAGATGTTTTGAAAATGTGGCACAGTTCAGATATTTGGGAACAACGATAACAAATCGAAACCTGATTCAGGAGGAAATTAAGAGGCGATTGAACTCGGGTAATGCTTGCTACCATTCAGTCCAGAACCTTTTGTCTTCTTGTCTGCTGTCCAAAAACCTAAAAATGATTGTTGATTGTTAAATAATTTTGCCTGTGGTTCTGTATGGTTATGAAACTTGGTCTCTGACATTAAGGGTGAGGGTGTTTGAGAACAGGGTGTTGAGGAGAATATTTGGACCGAAGAGGGATGAAGTGACAGGAGGTTGGAGAAAACTGCATAATGAGGAGCTTCATAACTTGTACTCTTCTCCAAGTATAATTACAATGATCCAGTCAAGGAGAATGAGGTAGGCAGGGCATGTAGCACGAATGGGGGGGACGAGGAATGCATATAGGATATTGGTGAGAAAGCCAGAAGGAAAGAGACCACTGGGAAGACCAAGGCGTAGGTGGACGGACAATATTAAAATGGATCTTAGAGCGATAGGATGGGATGGTATGGATCGGATTGTTCTGGCTCAGGATAGGGACCGGTGGAGGGTTCTTGTGAACATAGCAATGAACCTTCGGGTTCCATAAAATGCTGGGAAATTCTTGAGTAGCTGTAGATTTGGCTTCTCCTCAAGAAGGGCTCAGCTCCATAAGTAAGTAAGTAAGTAAGTAAGTAAGTAAGTAAGTACTGTCGCCATATTTAAGGTCATTAGAGCGAAGCGGATTTATATTACGGAAATGAAATTTCAGAGCATGACTTGGTGAATGATTGGTTAATTCATTTCAGGAAATTTTAGGACTACATTTTGTGACCATCTTTTCAGACGCTCTGTTAACGTATGTAGTACATTTCATTTGATTGCTGGATATTAATCGTGAACATTAAAGCTACATTATGTAAATGCAACATCCAAAGATTTTTTGTGCTATACAGTGAGTTATTTTCCGAAAACTCATCCAGGCGGATAAGCAGAATGCTCCTTCCGTAACGCGCAAGTTCGCTTAACGGTTGCGATGTCGAGAAAACTCGCTGTATATGCATATTAATAACACTGAGGAAAACACAAACTAATCCAGCCGAAAGTCTCTGCAGTGGTGTTTTATGACATGCTCAGGAACACATTGTTTTGTTATTCTCTTTGGTTTCTAAGTGTTTTGGATAAGGACAGACGAGAGACTGTAGCACGAGTTGCTTCCAACTCGCTGAACACTACCACGTTCAAAGAGCAGAAAAGAGGATTCCCCGTAGCTTATCCTTGCTTGCTTTTGAAAGGTGTGTATGTTCCGTCTTTCCGGGCAAGATTGCTGTCTTCCCGCTGCCAACGGTAAGAGATGTTGTCCGCTTTTCTCTTGAACATTTCTAAATATGTATTTTTTTTTTATTTCTACCTGAGAGATTCTAGAATATTTCAACCGACTTGCGGACCGCTGCTTCGTATATGGGAGATCCCGGGCTTGTCTCTACACGGAGATTGAAAAATTTGACTGAGGATTTTCACGGTTTTACTCAGTACTAGAACCAAATACAAAGATAATAATTCATATTAATACACGATCGATTCTTTCCAAATGATTTCCAATTTATTATTTATTATTCACAATATCGTTCGACAATAAAGTCAGAACAATTGATACAGTCGTTAAACTATAAATAAAGAAAAAAATATCTTTCGAGTTGGTGATTTATGATACTGGACAATGCTGCTCAATTTTCTTACATGTTGGCGTGAAAACGTTACCTTATACCGACTTTGATATGTACTCGTATAAATCCAACTGTACAATACAGAATTACTAAATATACAAACGTAAGTACTTATATACCGGTCACGGTAGCCGAGCGGTCTAAGGCATGCACTGTCTTCGCTCGCTCGGAAACCGGGATCGTGGGTCCGAATCCCACTCAGGGCATGGATGTTTGTGTGCGTTTTTCTGTGTTTGTGTACAGGTAGAGGCCTTACGACGAGCTGATCACTCGCCCAAGGAGTCCTACCGTATGTGTAAGATCTAGAGAAACCGAAGTGAACGGAGAAGTTTATGGAGGTAGGCCTAGTCCCACTGGGGCTGTAGTGTCAAGGGGGGGGGGGTGAAGTACTTATATACTCTGCTGAAAGCCAACCTACGTTTCTGACGAAAATTTCTTCTCCATCTTAAGGGTTGAAGTGTAAGCGAGGCAAGAAACAAGCATGAAGCCGACAGCAAGCAGTCTCTCAACGGACTACAAGGCTTTATATCCTAGAACTCTCCATGAACAAAGTTGGGAGAACCTCAAATCCTAGAAAGGCAAACTTATATTGCGTCCTCCCTCCACACACATCACGCTCAGTAGGCTGAGAGGCATATATAGAGTCTCAGGCCAAGTCCGTCTCACTTTATGTAGCTCGGATTTAAAGTTACAGCGCTTATAATATGATGACAGATACATTTATTTATGGTTTACTTAACGAGGCTGTCAGTAGGCCACATAAGTCAGATTATATAACGTGGAATGGTAGAATTAACAAACAACAAAAACAAAACTCCGCAGCCTGTAGTCCGCAAGTGAACTATACCGACGGAACAAATGCCGCTTGTCGGTGAAGTTAGTGCCAACTTTTGCGGATGGAGGGTGTCGCGTGGTCAGCGCAACGGATCCCCACGGCCGTTAATCTCGGTTTTCTAGACCGGAGCCGCTATTTCCTTGAAATAGCTCTTCAATTATCCTCACGAGGCTGAGCGGACCCCGTTCCAGACCAACAATTTCCCAGAAAATATGGTAGCGTCGGGAATCGAACCTAGGACCTCAGGATCTGTAGCCAGGAACTGTGACCACTAGACCGGTGATTATCAGTAAATAATTAATTGGAAAGCATGTGGAAGTAAGCGATCTACAGGAGGGTACTATGTTGTACTATTTCACCATTTGACTGGAGAGACTAAGGAAAAACCATGAAATGCCACAGCCAAGAGTGGTAGTTTCTATGCCAATATTTGAACCCAAGACCTCCAGAATACCAAGCAGGATTGGCAACTACTCAACCAAGTCTCTCGGTATATGACGAGAAATATGTAGTGTCTTAACCTGAGCAGTTGCGATCTCAAGGTCTGAGAAGGATGTTCGCTGTTTGGCTGAGTGAACCGACAGGTCAGAGTCACAAGTAAAGTTTGATAATAAAAAAACTCCTTGGCCTGTAGTCCGCAAGCGAACTATACCGACCGAGAGACCGCCGCTTTTCGGAGAAGTTAGTGCCAACTTTAGCGGATAGAGGGTGCTGTGCGGTCAGCGCAACGGATCCCCACGGAAGTTAATTTCGGGTTTCTAGACCGGAGCCGCTATTTCCTTGAAGTAGCTCCTCAGTTATCCTCTCGAGGCTTAGTGGACTCCGTCCCAGACCCACTACTTCTCGGAAAATCTGGTAGCGGCGGGAATCGAACCCGGGACCTCTGGATCTGTAGCCAGGAACTCCGACCACCACACCACAGAGACGGTCAAAATTTTATAACCATGTGCATAATAATCCCATAAGGATAAGATATAACATGCTGACGCACTAACCATAAAACTTATATGAACTGACATTCACACTGCCANGCGGTCTCTTCTCTGAGATCTATATAAAACCTACGACTTGGTATTTTAAATTTGAGACGTATCAAAATTATGATTTCCTGAGTTGTGACATCGTGTCGCCTTGTCAGCGCAACGGTTCCCAACGGCCGTTAATCTTAGTTTTGTAGATGTCAAGATATATCCAAAATATTTAATTCACGAGGGTTTTTGTTGTGACCTTGTTTCAACAAAATTAACCCAAAATCATATCCCAAAGGAACTCAAGAGTACAACCACTAACTAAATTTCTTGTCGCCTTACGTACATGAGTACTGGGTCACTAATGGAAGCATTAAAAGGCAGAGATACGACCCTAATGACAGTATCAATTTGTCGGTTGTTGTGGTTACAAAAAGAAGGTGTTTTCCCCATCTTCTTGAGGAAAGAAATTGCGAGGAAGACGTCGAAAGAGAAAAAGGGGCGTGGTACTGACACGTTATCCCATGTGCTCGTATTCTGGCTAAAGTAATGAACAAGCTTGGGAACCTGACCTTCCTGTAAGTGACGGTGCCAATGGTCAACAAACAGCATGCACGTAACCCGGTATCACTCACTTTCCTCCTTAAAGCTGTGTTGAAAGCTCCCTATTTAGGTGAATCTAAGAACAGAACCAAAACAGCAATTATTATTATTGATGAAACATATTTTATACTGAATTAATTACATTATTGAGATATTGGTTTTTCGGACTTTATCCATTGTCCTGGTTTTAAGATAACTATGAAAAACACGACGTTTCGGAAACTGGATCTGTTTCCGTCCTCAGGTGAGGGAAAACACCTATTGTGTTGGGTCCCTTAGAAAGAGCTAGCCTCAATCACTGGACCTATCCAGTCGTCTAGTGATTGAAGCTGAAGACGGAAACAGATCCAGTTTCCGAAACGTCGTGTTTTTCTTAGTTATCTTAAAACCAGGACGATAGATAATGTCCGAAAACCCAATATCTCTGTGTGTTATACACCATCGTCAGAATCCTATAGTAACTTGTTAAACTATTATTATTAACATTATTTTTATTAATTTCGGTATTATTATTATTATTATTATTCTTTGCTGCTCTATTTGAAACACAAATTCTCACATTGTGGCTCTGTCTGTGTGTATTTGTTTCTGTATCTTTATTTATGCTGACTGTGTAATTATTGTAATATAGACTATCATATTTCGTATTTTGTTTTTTTAATTATTTTTGTGCATTTCTCTCTATTCGTGCTAGTTTTGTAATTGGCCTCTTGTGCTGTTAAGTTTGCACGTAAATAAACACGAATTTAATTATTATTATTATGGTTCCCACAATAAAATATATATTTAAAGAGAAGATTAAGTAAGAGGGGGCACGGGGTAGTGTAGTTTATTGAGGCACTATGCTACAAGCCGAAAGGTCGCGGGTTCGAATCCCGATGAGGTGGATTTTCTTTTTTAATTTTCCTGATCCTTCCAGCCGCACTATGGCCTTGAGGCCGTCTCAGCCTCTAACAGAAATGAGTGCCAGGAATATTCCTGGGATAAAGGGCGGCCGGCGCGAGGGCTGACAAACTTACCGCCATCTGTGAGCCGATTGTCTAGAGAAAATGTGGAAGCTTCGAGGTCTCACAATCCTGTGGGCCTTTACGGTCTCTTACAAGGATAGTTTTACATTTTTTTTACCTTTAGCAGGTCAAGTAAGATATGGAGTAAATATATGACAAGCAACACGTCACATAATCGATTCCCCTGGAATTCTTAATGAGCTGACACGACACAGTGAGTGAACGGTTTCTGTTGAAGGACAGAGATTATAGGCCCCGCAGGGGCTGGAAGAGTGTCATAAATATTGTTACGACTCTTCTCATTAAATTCCAGCATCATTTATCGAACTATGAAGCAAGAAAACATGAACACTGCTCGGGTGAGAGAACCACAAAATCACATGAGGATTTATTCAGAGAAATGCCTCAGGTTGCTGTCATGTTGAAGAGTAGAGATGGCCAAAAGGCTAATACTATAATTGGTTTTAATGTGACGATAAATTGAACAAACAATGTTGAAAATATGGGCTTGCATATAGACGAGATAAAGCTATTACAAAATTTTAGCAGCGAAACCTGGAGATAAGAGTGTAATTAGAAGATTTAGGAGTAAATGGGAGGATAATATTATAATAGATCTTAAATATGGTTTGAAGTTGTAAACTGAATTCATCTGGCTCAGGACGGGGACCAATCACAGACTCATGTAAATCCTCTAATTAAAATTTTTGCAACCTACAGGACAAAGAATTTCTTGGCTAGTTGAGTGTCTGTCAGCTTCTCAAAAGCAGAATTAGGAGTACGTTCCGTGTAGTTATTTCGTTGTGGTCAACCGATCCGGAAAGATCTTCAATAGAGAAATTATATCGTGTTGAACATTCAAAAAACTGTACGGAATAACCGTTAGTGTTGATGAGAACATATATCTACTCGTAGATGCTGTTATTATTTTTATGTCCCATAATTCGAAATTAACGGCCGTGGGGATTCGTTGCGCTGACCACGCGACACCCTCTATCCGCTAAAGTTGGCACTAACTTCGCCGACAAGCGGCGGTCGCTCGATCGGTAGAGTTCGCTTGCGGACTACAGGCCACGGAGTAAAAATGTCCCATAATTTGGATTAATTAATGGAATCAAATTAGCCACAATTTTGCGAGGCCATGCTATATGACGCCTAACACCTCAGAGACAAAGCATTTTGGTGATTTTGGTTACCCGGCGTTGCGGTAATCCATACATGAATATGATAACAAATTTCTCAGTAGTGCCATGGTAACACATGAAGCACACAGAGACAATTTTCCTGTTCAAAGTTTCGAGCGATAAAAACTTTGTAACAATTTGTTTTCCTTCAAATGAGTCCTCATGTATAAACTGATGATTCTCAATGATTTATACTTAAGTTGGATTTAAGCTCACCACAACGGTGGCTATGTACATTTCTATATTCTGAGATGTAACGCCGTGTGGTCAGGTAGAAGTTCATCTACATTTCGGAGAAATATATTGCCTCTGTCTTCAGGTTTGAATTTTTTTGTCTCCTGCGTTTTGTGGCTTAGAGTAAGTCGGGCAAGCAAACAGGACGCAGAAAATATTATTGCCTGTTTCGATCATTCTTCGATCCTGAAGATGGAGGCAGTATGGTCCTCCGTAACGTCGGTGGACTTATTCCAGATTACATTACGTCACGTATCCTAAAATAATATCCTTAAATGAAGATTATACATATAATAAAGAAGATTGTGACGGAGAATTCGAATCGCATTAAAAATAATAAGTAATACTTGCATCTCATCCTAACAGTCATGGTTACCGTACATATTGGAAAGACTATGAGCTACGGAATAAGTTTCATGATGTTGTGGCATGACTCCTGAAGGTCGGAATAGTGGAACCAGAGGAGACGTCCGTTGCGATGCAACGGCGAGGTAAACACTTTTCCGCAGCAACGCCCAACAATGGAATTACGTATTGTTGAGTTGATGGTTGACGGGAGTTCTACACGGGCGTCTGTGATAAGACTACCTGAGCGCGGGAAGCTGAAGAAGATTCACTGCTAGAAGCCGTTGTCAGGGAAAGGCTGGGGCACAGCAGGTTGGAAAAGGCTTAGCCGGTGCTGTGGTGATTTGTGAAGTGTGGAGATTGGCGACGGGGCTGTAATTACTTGTAGTTCCGAGTGGTGTGTATTAGTGATCAATGAATCGAGTCGCCCCAAAATACGTTGCAATATCGCGGGTGTTTCTTACTGTATTTGTGGTTGGGAAAATGAAAGAGAAATCAACAGTCACATATGCGAGTTCTCACGTTCTTACGGCGATGAATATTAAGATCGAATTTTGATTCATCAACAGATAACATTATTTCGAAAAACATGGTGCCTCCATCTTCAGAGCAGAAGAGTCGCCCTTGAGAACAGTTAAATTTTGAGCCTACTTCCCTTATTTTTAAAAAATAAAAGTGAAATTATGAGATCACCATGCTCTGTGTCTGTGAATCCCTCCTATCAAGTTTTGATGCCTGAACCAATCTTTATGAAACTTGATATGTATATCAAAGCACCAGTACCCATCTCAACTGCGTACTACATAAATCCCTCCCATAAATCTCTGTGTCTGTATGTATATCCCTAGTATTGTTGCTAGGCAACCACTCAGTAAAATGTATCCCTTCTAATGTTGCTAGGCTACGGTTCGGTAAACACGTTCCCGAGGCAACTAATACATGGAACAATAGAAGAATTTTTTGACGCGTCATTTTCTGTGTGTTCCATAGCATATCAAAAGAAAGTAGGCGATTAGTTCTTCCCAGAACTTCTTGTTTATGTATATCATATATCTATTTGAAAATAGAGTTCATTAATTTTTAATTATAAGGTTGATAAGACAAAACAAGCGAATAAATGCATTTATATCTGCAATAAGTGAGCGTAGAGTTCTGCGCAGCTGTAACGTTATTGACTTTTATTCAGGAAATACTCGTATATAGACTTTATGAGAGCTTCTGTAGTTCTTCTTCCTATCGTAAAGCAAATGCTATGATAGTAGTTTCAAATAGGCCACGACAACCTCCTACCCCGTTGATATTGAGTGGATAGCAGTCCTTCACATTCGAGAGGTCCCGGGTTTAAATCTCGCTGCGAAGATCGGTTATTCTGACTGACGTTTTAACGGCTTTCCTCAGGCTCTCCAGGATATTCACTAATTGCCCTATGATTCGTTCCCATGCAGTGTGAGATTACAGAAGTGTCTTTCAATAAATAACAATAAAATTAGACCTCCGCAAAGGAAGGAATATCATTAAATGACCTAGGAATTAACCAGTATCAAAATATCTGGGGAATATCCTTCGATCCTAATCTGATTCCACCTTAATCAATGCTTCGTATAATACCAATATGGCTGCTTCTATGTTTCGATAGCTTGATAGAAGGAGAGACATACAGAAGGAGTGGATCCACTTCGCTTTGTAATTAAATTTACAGTTCAGAGTCTGAAACTAGATTCACTTGTGGCCCATCTTTCGCATATGAACCATCAGAGATGCTGTTGAATTTTCAAAGCAAAATTGTCGCTGGTGTCAACATCATGCTCAGTTACACTGTTCTATGGCCGCGACATAGCTCAAGCGGTTAGTCGCTGGCTTCCCACCGCGGCGGCCCGGGTTCGATCCCGGGTATGGTCAAGTGGGATTTGCGGTGGACAAAGTGGCGCTGGGGCAGGTTTTCTCCGAGTACTTCGGTTTCCCTTGCCAATCTTCATTCCACCAATTGCTCCACAATCATCCTCACCTATCATCTTGGGTTGGTACAATAGGCCAGAAGTGGGCACAGTACAAGGGACTTAGTCCCACCCCACTAGCAATAAAAAAGAATAATAATAATACACAGTTTTAATTTCGACGAGATAGATTCCAATATTCTGTAGCTCTTGATGGTAACCTTAAAATTAGGACCGCTAAATATTCATTTTGTTTGTGTGCGTTTTTCTTTGTTTGTGTACAGGTAGAGGCCTTGCGACGAGCTGATCACTCGCCCAAGGAGTCCTACCGAATGTGTAAGATCTAGAAAAA